CATCCAAACCTCCTTCGAGAAGGGGGAGGTCGTACTGACACCACGTTTCACACACCACGACGCTGTACCCTGCTTGGAAATCACTTACCGGCTACTGGTTCATATCTGAACATCCACTGCTCGTAATAGTTGATTGCTGGAACTATCTTTGAGGAGCTGTCGGAATCAGTTGCGAGAACTGAGCAGTAGTTATAACGGTAGTTCAAGTTGCCGATACGTCACCATCACCTCACTCCCCCATCTTCTTCCCCCCCCCATCCCCCGTTTGACATAATACTATGTAGTAAATGAATGAATGTTGATATACTTTTCTCTCCCGTTCTCAGAAACCGCTACACACCTTCGGGTACAGGCGTCATGATCGTGCAATCTGATGAGTGTCCACAGCCACTAAAAACCATTCGTTGTTTCTTTATTATTCAAAAATATACACATAAGCAAAACAATAATTTATCATATTCTTTATTTGGGTAATCACACGTATGAATCTCCTGACTGTTTCGATGCTTGATGTTGCTGTACGTCTTCCACTCTGCGTATTAAGGTATTGCTCATTCATAGCATCGTACCTGCCATACCCAGCTCCTAAAAATCCACCTTTTTTCATGAGAACCCATTAACTGAGCACAGAGTATTCAGGTTAGATCACAAATGACTGACGTCAGCTGACCCCAAGGGCAGCCTGCAGCCTTATTCGTTGCAGATGCTGGGCCCTGTCAGGGAAAAGGCTGGTTTTAGGGCTGCGCCAGGACGTTCTTCATCAATGGCTAAAGAGACAAGTGACACCAGTTGCGGAGGGGCCGGGGGGGGTCGGGAAGGGAAACAGACGCGCCGAACCCAGCTCCTTGAAACGCAGCGAATAAGACTGTAGGAATTTTCCAAAACAGCGCAGCAGGCAAAAACGCATTATGGTTGCACAGTCTAGAGGATTGGCTTCGGCTGAGGTAAACCGGAATCTTCGTTCACCTGACGTTTACAGGCCGACCTTTGGAGAGGGGGGGGGTACAGCTTGGAAATATCCAACGAAATTCGCGAACCATTAGAGCAGAAAGATTTTTTGCTTTCGAACACATTTTCCAGCTCACATGCTCGAACGCTTGAAAACGGATTTTGCGACTGGCTGGTGGGTACAACTCTCCCAGGATCTACGTCGAGCAGGTACGCAAAGAGTGTGCCATTTCGAACTCGAAATTGCAGGTAATGATTCCTGGAGCCTGCGATTGGAGTCAGATCGCACTCAGAGTCCAACGTCACGAGTTCTAGCTTTTCCACCACTACTTACTTCGAGAAGATGCATAGGTACATCAAACGGTATCGAGCGGTATAGGGAGGGGGAGCCTGAGGGTTATGCTCTGATGTTGGTAAGTTATGTAAAAGGACATCACACTATCTTGGCGAGAAGGTTAGACAGCAGATATGACTTGGTTTAGCGCCCATAGAGCTGCAGTTTCCACCCCCCTCCCCCTCCCCCCTTCCCCCGACCACAAAACCTCGGAATCCCTGAGATGCGGTAGGCGTGGCTGCGTACTTCAACTAAACATGGCGGTGACTGTGCTTTTGGTGAGACATTTTCATTTGAGACAATTGTGGTCATGTCTTTGTCCACCATAGAACAAGATGACAGTTGTCTCGAGTTGAAATATCCCACGAGTAACCCATCCTATGCCATGTCAAATGCCACGCCTACTCCGTCTCAGGGATGAGAAGTTTAACACCGAACCATATCCTCGACGACTTTCAATAGCGTAACATTCTCTTCATCTCATAGAAAATGAAGAAGCGGATGTCATAGGAGTTGGCTTATCTTAGGTTCCACAGAGAAAACCATTCCTTCAACCTCTTAATCCAGTGTTCCAACCTTCGCAGATGGCCAAAGACCAGGAATTCTGCGGTATTAGCCTAGCTATCGAAGGTCAAGTGGCCGTATACGTTACTCGTTGTCGACGATTTTCATTGCGATAGAGCAATTATCACTTAGCTCTTCAATCTTCGTCAAACAAACACCGGGATGACCACGGTTTGAAATATAGGGAAACCCAAACAAAAACCGCAATCGCGGAGAAATTCACTGAGTAAGAAAACTGCTATCCTGCCTGAGCAATTATCGGGAACTGTGGGCAGGGCACGTCCTGCCATTGGGGAGACATAGTGCGACCCCCCCCCCTCGAAATTCCCTCTGATATGATACCCTTTCCTACATTCCACCCCACCTACCATCTATCAACCTATCTATAATCTACATCTACAACCTATACTTTTTCCTAAGACTTCTCTTGACCTTCCCCCCCCCCTCCCCCAAAAGTCTCCTTTCCCCCCTCAAAAGAGTGCATTCGAGCTTGGAAGACGCTGGGAGGGGTTTAGAGAGTTCACAGAATGGGAAAGACCGAAAAAGAGATAATTCAGCAACGGAATTCATTTTCCTGAAAGGTAAATTGCTCGCTAGACTGCGCAGACTGTTTTCACTCCGACATACAGAGTTCATTCCTCTCAAAAAAGCTTGACTTTATATGTCGTGGTTGCTCGAGGGAATAAGGGAGAGCTCACTCGGAGTCCAAAGGAAGCGGCACAATAGACCGACAAGGCGTGTGGGGCAAACATGCCTAGCAAGAAAAAATATCAGCGACTGAGCAAGCGCTGCGCTGCCTTTTTCAACGAAAACGCCTCACTAAGGCGCAACATGCCGGCCCGTACGCCCACCAAAACCGCCCGTTTGGAAATGAGCGGTGCTATTTTAAATTATGTTTTTATGGGATTATGTTGCAACTACCGTCATATTTCAGCAGCGCTGATCTATGATATCTCAAGCGCATTCTCGTCCGCTTGTGGGTGGAGTGATTGCAATGATTAGTAAGCCATACGGGCGTTTTCCGCCATTGGCCCCTTTTTTCTTTTGACTGTCGCAGATTTTAGTGCATCAACTTCAATTTTTGTCAGGGAACCAATTTATCGTGCCCATTGCCTTTAACTCTAGAGTAAGCGACCCAGCTTTCATTATATCCCTCACCAAGAAAATTGGATGACAGCTGAATGCGTTTCTCCGGACAATTGTTAGGTAGCGTACAGACTTCGCGATCACGCTCGTCGACGCGTGATGACGCGCTGCACCGCTTTGCGCGTGACGACGCGCTGCACTTCTTTTGCAAGGGCGCCTCAATGTGATAGACGCGGAGCGTCGCAAACGCAGACGAGTATTGATCGCTCGCTTGGATTTTGAAAATTATAGGATTTCAGGAGGGCAGGCGTTTCTCTCGTACAATATGGCACCCTCCTATTCCTCTATACTCTCCCGAATAGCGGACAGCACCGATCGACTCTCGTCTTTGCTGTTTTCGCGTCTATAGCACTGAAACGCTGTTGCTATTGTAGCGCGTCGACGCGCATACCAGCGCATTTATTCAACGCGCGTCATTACGAAGTCTAAACGCTGCCTTGAAAAAACGCGCGACATAGTCATCGACGCTTCTTCTGATTACCTTATGAACCACTTTTCAAGTGACCAGTATGGTTGCATACCAGATTCTCAAAAGCCTCCACCTTTAGCACCTCCTTCAGCACAGTTCGCTCACCTTCGGCAACACTAGCTTGTCCTTCTCCTGTTTTGTTATTATTGGTGCCATTGTTGGCACTCACTGTTGGGGGCATCACTCGGTTGGGCTGACTAGAACCTGCTTCAATAGACGAAGTCGTACACTGCGGTAATGGTGACTTACTAATTGGTAAACCTTTCTGAAAATCCAAACTTAAAAAATGAAGGAGCATTTGGAATGTTGAAAAGATTACGTCGCAATCTGCTGCTCTTTGCCGCATCTTTGCCTTCATATCATTGATTGATGTAGCCAAAGGAGATGTCGTGGGTATGGAGGAGCAACTGCAAAAGGAACACTCTGCGGATGTAAGAAAGGGAAAGGTATCGGGGGCAGTTTGGCTCGACGCGGGCACGACATCTCCACTGGCTACATCAATCAATGATATGAAGGCAAAGATGCGGCAGAGAGCAGCAGATTGCGACGTGATTTTTTTTTCAACATTCCAAATGCTCCTTCATTTTTGAAGTTTGGATTTTCAGAAAGGTGTACCAATTACTAAATCACCATTACCGCAGTGTACGACTTCGTCTATTGAAGCAGGTTCTAGTCAACCCAACCGAGTGGAGCCCCCCACAGTGAGTGCGAACAATGGCACCAATAATTACAAAACGGGAGAAGGACAAGCTAGTGTTGCCGAAGGTG